CAGACATGTTCAGGTGACCTTCACTTTTATCGAGAACATTCACAGTGGTGCATGAACATAATTCGCCTAGCTGTAAATAAACATTTTCATCTACTGTCACGTTCTGAAATCTAAACTATCGGGCCATTCACTCATATTAGAAGGTGGCTAAAATGAGACAAACAAGAAAATGGTTATTCGATGGTTATACGGGTATCGTAGTTATGTTTTGGATCTTAAGCTTGCAGTATTTCATCGACTGTTATTTTCCAATCCGGCTGGTATCCAAAGTGGCTGTCCTACATGAACGGTTTGTAGATGAATCTACTGAAAAGGCCTCATATAACATAACCATTATATTTAAGGATCACTACATTAATTGTTTGACCAAAGGCCCTGGTATAAGTGACATATCAAGTAATGGCACTTGCAAGGCCAGTATGTGAACTGCGGGAGAGAAATCTGCCAAAATCGTGCATCAGTACTATCGACTTTTGACTTGCTTAAAGACATGTCCATTCCTCCTGGTACTGGTTTCCAAAGCTCCATAAATATCCGAACAAAGAGAGATATTGTTAGGTCCACCAAATCCCTGTTTCAAAGATTAATCATAATCCTTTATACAATCAAGGTAGGACTTTCTTTATAATCACAGAAAGTATTGGCGACAAGTGCAATTACTACTATGTGGACTCTCAAAAACTCAAAGGATTTGATTGACTCTATATAGCTAGCCATCTCAGAAAAGAAATTCAATTCTGTCAAAGCATTTGATTTTTCAACTTTGTACACCATTATCCCACATGACAAACTTACGGAAAATCTTCATGATCCATGGGGCTTTTGTGACAAAACTTGGTTGCATAAGACACAGTAACATATCTATCGTCAGAGGTGCAGGACAATTTGTAAAAAATATAAGCAAATGCCATCTGAAGTTTATTTTGAAAACAATGTGAAATGTTGTATTCCTCATTGATAACACCAATGTAAAGATTGGGGGTAGGACATTTAGGCAAGAAGAAGGCATCCCCATGGGCACCATGTGCTCCCTTCTTGCTGTTCTGTTTCTTTATGCCCATGAATTGGAATTTCTGCTCGGATTGGCAAATTCACAGAACTTGGCCAAGAAGTGTAACATAAGCTTCATGTATATCGATGATCTGATATTCAATAATGGTCACATAGCAAAGTCCCTTCCACTGATGTACCCACCTGAACTAGAAATAAAGGAGATCTGTGAGACCACCTAATTAATCTGTTTCATACTTAGATCAATGCATAAAGATTCAGAGTGACAAAACACTCTCCACAAGACTGTATGACAAGAAGGATGGCTTCAACTCTACAGTCGTCAACGTTCCCTTTCTGTCGAGCACTGTTCCATCAGTTCCAGTAATTGGTATCTATATTTTACTATTTTTGAGATACAATCGAGCATCCTCTTTCTACCATGAGTCTAGAGAGCGTCATACGATAAGCACTCTTGCTGTGGTTGTGGCGGGTGAGGCAGAATACGCTCAACCATTTCGCGAACACCTGCTATTATCACAATTGAATCTTAAACACAATCAAGCTCTTGATACAGTCGGAATCGTACATTGACTCGAGATTTCTTGCGCCTATGTAAAGGGTTATGTAGCTTTTATTCAGTTTAGAAACGTTTTGATAACGTTTGTAATTGTTTCGTCAAATCCACTCTTCAAGTGTATACGTTTCTTTTGCCAGGCAGTTTATGTTTCGTGACTGCCTCAAAGGTGAGACGAATGTACACTTCTATAAAAATAATATTTGAAAACAAAACTGATGCCTTTTTGAAATGGGAAAAGAAGTGGGATCAGCAGAGCGTTGTTGTCAGTTAGTAGTGCTTATGTTTTAGCGGTCAGTCCCTAAAGGAAGCCATCGAGCGTTACCCAAAGGCTGGACGATCTAATGTAACATGTAATTTCAATAAGTAGGAATGAATTTATTTATTTTTTGGATGCGACACCAGTATTCGAACCACCACAACATCTCACTAAATTTTGGGTAGACAGATCCAGTAAAGCTTAAAATATTATAATTAAAGCGCCGTGAATTAAAGCATCTCGTGATATAAATATGAATGGATCGTTTCTCATAATATCAATAACTGGATTATCTGGCCCAGACTCGATTATTTACATGAAGTCGCAATATAGATGGAATAAAGCAAACTTACCAGTGCTCTGTACCTGTTTACAGATAATGAAATTAGGCAAAGTTACTGGAAGAAGGTGCATATTTAAACAGAAATAAATAACTAAATTAAAGCTGTTTGGTAGGAGTTCCAAATATTGAGTCACTCCAAAATTACATAAAAATTCCGGTTCAAACAATAAAAAAGATTACACTGTTAAGGTAAATCAAGTGCATATCTAACTGTGCAGTTGCACCTTGGAAATTAATGAAAGTGCCACTGTTACAGTCAACAAAAGGCTCTTTTCTGTATTGCTGTTAATGGTTCCCCAATCAAAGCATCATCATTGTTTTGTTAAATTAAGGTCATTGTGCACTCCATGCTCACGATTCCAGTCTGTCATATGAGGTGTAAAATGTCCCCTTTTTACAGCCAAAATCGTGCAACGTATTGGTTGTGATATAAACCATGTACAGTCAGCAGGCACCTGTGAACCTAACTCAGCTAAGGCTACTCTCTTGTGCATGATTCACGTCCTCCTTGCACATAATACACGTAACAAAAGTAACGTGTGTTATAACCACCAGGTAATATTCTACTCAAACCTCAATACCTACGTGATCACCTTATGTATAATATGTGAAGATACATGTGTATATGGCCACGACGTGCATGGCCAACAATAAACTGAAACGTTTCATAATTTGTGTATAAATTACAGCCATTGTGTACGCATGTATGAGTGTAGGCATCTTTGCAAAATGCTGTATGGAATGAGATCTTGTACAAGTATATATATACATTGTATATGGTGTAAGGTATCCTTTTTGTTTCAAACGTTTTTTAAATATTTTTACAGATGATTTTATGTTTTTCCTATACTGGCCGTACGTTGGTACATGTATATAGTGAAGAAGATCAAACTGACTCTGATCTGGTGTGCGGTTACTTCATTGGTGGCATAGGCCCTGGATGCAGTTTCAAGGCATATAAAACAGTTTCCTTACATTTTACTAAGGTAGCCTGAGACAAATTTGGTACATTCGAATTATTAACGAAAGTAAATGTATCGGTTGAGATTAAAAAAAGCAACCATGTCCTTTGTATAATTTACCAAGGCACGGTTCACAAGGAACAGCAAGCTGATTACATGCAGTGAACCTTTCGAGTATATGTAAGTAAAGTGTGTCCTTTGGGGGATTCTAAAGTGCATTTCATATTAATTTATTGTGTTATCTGATATATGGCATCACTTGTTATATTCATGTGAACATCATTGTAAAGTGCATATTAATTCATCAAAGCAGTTACCTAAAGTAAATTGTTTTATTAACAGAATAGTTACTTCAAAGAAACCTGAAGCGTCTTACGGTTACGATCTTCAAACTGTAGATTCTGAAAAAAATATTCTTTAACATAATTGTTTTTTTTTGTTTTTCGGAAAACGATTCTGGGTTCTATTGTGTTGCTGTACATGATACCAAACTTTTCAAGATTTTTCAAAATTTTAATTCGTTAATTTCTTCTCTTTTTAAAAAAAAATGTCTTTATATGGCATGACTAATCTATTACTGTGAATCACATCAACATGTTTCAGTATTTCTTTTGCCGATCATTTTGATTTATCAAAGGTTAGGGGACAGAGATCGAATCCCGGTTCACTCAGATTATTTTTCTAGGTTTGTCAGCAGCATGTCCGTGCTCGTGGGTTTCACGAAAGTGGGAAACGTCGACGACATGCATCACTCACCGCTCACCTAGCTAACATCGTGATGCTGTTCAACGCGGCGGAGACCTGCATCACTTTCGGCTTTTTCCCCACACGCCGTGATGGAACCGGAGTGGCGTTATACCAAACTCACTAACTCACTCACTTAGGCAGCAAGCAGAAGGATATCATGGTCGCATGTAGATGTTAGAAATCTCGTATTTTATAGTCAAATTGTAACTATTGAAAAGGTTCACACAGTAAATATATCTAGTGAAGAAGTGTCTTCAATACGATTCGCAGACTTGATACCGGATATTGTTCGTGGCTTCTTGCTAAACATACTATGGGGAACAAGGTAAAAAGTTTTCTCAAAAGTGAGGATAGTTTTCTTTGAACTCCGCAGGAGGGCATTCCACTGTCCCAGCACAGGCCTGTGTGTGGTTGACAGTTGGTGATTAATTGTTACCAGATGGCGTTATATGCTGGGGTAGCAGACGACACACCATTGTAAGATGCATTGAAAAAACAACTCCACGCTTACTTGTAAGCATAGGGGCAATACATTCTATTATCACTGTATCAAGTCTTTGTAACCATTTAAAATTCAGATATTTTTAATAATACAAGTTTTATAATACATACTAAATATAAATTTGTGCATGCTGAAATACCCTGTAAAATAGAGTAGAGAGTCCATTGGAGAGACGATTCACCTTAAAATTGTCACATATGCAACCACATTTCAGTTCAATGAATGCACATGTTTTGTTTTCTGAAAAATGAGGATATACTTTCCTGCTTTTGATTTCATAGGAGTTAGAGCAACAGTTGATGTCACAATTTTGAAGACAGCAAATGATGGTTTTCAATCGAACTTCCATCAGCCAACACCACATCGTGGAACGCTAAGTATACAGTCTTGTTTTCTCTTTTTTTTTGCTGATTAACGTTTACATTTCAAAGGCAGGGAAAGTTGCATTAATGTCATAACGCATTTTAGGCCAGAGCTACCAGGCTAAGATTGTATGTCACAGGGAGAAAATGGACACAGCAGTGTGGGCTCGAAGTGGAGTGACTTGACTACAATAATTATTAACAACAAACAAAGAAACACAAATCTAAATGAAATGAAATTGACAAAGAGGAACAAGCTTTAAGGCAGCACATCTCTTTATTCCATGACAATCTATCGAGAAACACGGTTGGTTTGATCAGTTACTTTTGATGAAGTTGATAATGTCTGGGTGTCTGAGGTCGACACCGAGGGACGGGAAACTGGCGGAGCAGCTGGGATAGTTGATAAGGGACTGAAGAATCCATTTGCCTTGTACCAAACAGCTGACCATGGCCCCCTCGTCTCCCTGTAAAGTAAGGACTTCTATGAGTGGGGTGTCACCCTGGATAGTGGCTTAGTTCAAATGTGCCTCTGTTCACCAAGCAGGGAATGGTATGTGAGGTGGATGTAAAAACCTTCTAACGCCCCTGGGCAGCTTGGGTTGTATACTCCAAAGGGAGTTGAGAATGAAAAGTGGAATGCAAACGGATCCACTGGTCGGGGGTGAAATAAAACCGCATTTAAGCAGATACTAGTACCTGGATACCTGCGGTATATAAATGTATAGTTTTTTTAAAAATGAGACATTACCATCGCATAATTCCTAAATATCAAATGATCATTCTACCATACATTTGGAAAATACCCAATTCTCATTGGTCGCGCAGAGGTTTCAAATAACAATAACCTTCTCTGATTGAAACGCCCGCATCATCATGGAAGTACTGTTTTCCTGCAATCTTGACGGTAGGAAATTTCAATTCATTATGTAGAATTAAACCTTGAAAAGCTCGCTTCATTTCTTTTTTATGTGTGTTTTCTAACCCCGCACTAAGCAATAATCCAGTTTTATGACAACGGCCTTGCATTGAGCCTGGATCAGACAATCCAGTAGTTGACATTGTGAGCAAGGATCCACAACGATCCAGAAACAAACAGTAAGTTCCTCCTCCCCTACACGCATGCACGGTGATTAAATGGTTCTGAATAATAATCACGCAAGAGAGGACATACCTGACATGGCACCTGTGTAGGGATATCTGGCACTAGGCAGACTGTGTTTTCAGGTGGGCTGTAGTTTTTCACATGTGTGTAGACGGCATTACAAACCGTAGGATTTAGACTCCTGCCCTTGGTCACTCGCAGTCGGCGGGAGAGAGACAGCGTCACCTCTGAAACCATTTGTATATTGACCTGAATGATACGACACCAGGTGTCTGTCAAAACATTTGAAATGTTAATTTGCACACAGTCATGCCAGTAAACTCAAATATACAGATGACCATAAATAATCGAGTCTAGACCAGACAATCCCGCGAATGACATCAGGAGCATTGATCTATGCACTGATAGTTATGTCGTGATATCAGTTTAGTATGACATAGCTATTAGTCTGATCCAGATTCTATTATTTACAGGCCGCCGTTATGTAGCAAGAGTATTTCTGACTGTGTCGTTTAACAACAAACAAACGAAATTAATAGATATTCTTATAAAAATTTGACCTACTGCTGTATATTCCCCATCCAGCAAAGGCACACGTCTTCATGGTGGCGTCTTCACATTGGTTATCCCGTGGTGCAGGGAGGCAGGCGGGAAGGACACATCTGTTGAAGACCACGTCTTCCGCTAGATGTAGAACTGCGATATCGTTATCTGGAACATTGGAAAAAGGTGGTGAGTGAGTGAGTTTTGTCGAACTGCTTTTTTAACAGTATCTCACGGTTGTCAGCGTAATGTAGGGGGCAGGTGGGATATTGTGGGATGGGGAGGGGGTGACACTCGAGTTGATGAAGGGACTAGACTAAACACAGATCAGCCGTCTCCGTTGATCGTGGGTAAATCGTGACTCGCGAAGGATCATAATCAGGGCCCATCTTGGATCTGAACCCACAAGATGCGCATGATGGCATGACTAAGGGAAGCAACTCTTCGCAGCGAATTGAAGCGTTTTAGACTACATCTATGCCCCCTATATGCACTGCGGCAAGAATATTCCACATTGAAGCATATTTATTATCAAGTGATAATCGTGGTGCATATATTGATGTGCAAAATGCAAAAATGTTATTTATAATGTAACGTAAGTGAGTATGCTTGGTGTAGCGCCGCCTCGAAACGTATCACGGTGTTACCTTGGTGTGGGTGGTGAGTGACGCATATGGTCGGCGTTAACCACTTTGGTCAAACCCAAGAGCACGGTTATGGTGCTGTAAATGATCTTAATCAATGTGAATCTGGGGTTCGAACCCGCGATCATAGAATTCTGGCACAGGTAGCAGAGCTCCTTAGACGACTGGGCCACCAGTGCCCCATGCGATAATTAGATATGGTCACCCGGGATACTGAGCTTCATAAGGTAATTAGATATTGGCCCTTAAAAGTAGCGTTTTACTGATAAAGGAAGACCATATTTTAATGTGCTGATCAGGGTTGCATAAAAACATAAAGATAAATGTCTACCACCATTAATTGAAAACACTGAAAGTCCAATGATTAAGTCAACGTAAAATCTAAACATATATTCCACTGGTTTACATTTATCCTTAGCGTTACCTGGAAGATGTCCTTTAATTACCTTTCCCTGCATAAAGTGGATGGATGACGGTTTTGTGGACCTTAACAACCACTTCAAAGTTGTTCCCATTCAGGGCTTCGTTGTCTAACAGCAGGTTGTTCTCACCAGCAATAACAGAGTGTGGGACGTACCTGGGAGTGAAATCAGTATCGAAGCACTGTCATTTGCGTAACCTGGAGAATGTTTTTGGTGTGGTTTCTTATTAATTTATTGATTTTAAACCACATGGATAATAATATCATTTGTAAGAACGATGGCTAATATACATATTATAAGTCGTTATTACATATAACATGAAGAATATTATACAGATCTTCTGGGGAATCATATTGATGACTATTAAAACAAAATTGTTATGTATTTGGTGTCGCAATACAATTTTTATCACAAAATCACTCAAATGAACAACACTTTTGTTATCAGTGACATTATATGGTTCTAAGGCTAAGGTCATAAAGATGGATATATAATAAATAGAAAATTTGTCTTTTCATGGCATTGGTCTTGTGGTAGAGGGTGCGCACGGTGAGCAGAAGGTCGGGGGGTTCGATCCCCGGCTGCGTTATACCAAAAGACGTTAAAAGATTGACAATGTACTTGTTGTTACCCTGCCTGGCGCTCGGCATTAAGGGGCTAAAACAAGGACTGGTTGGCTCAGAGTCAGTAAAATGCCACTCAGTAACAAGAAAACTCAAATATCCTCCATTTATTGTACGTTCGTGAAGGCACTGATATAACCAAACCGAAAATAATTTCTTCACACTTTGAAAAGTGGTATTTCTTTGAAAAGAAGACGTACTTCAACACTATGGTTGCCTTGTGATGCAGGGTTCACCTTTACCTGGTGGCACAAGAGGCGGTTGTGATCACCCTCCTCTTCCCGATGAGAGCCCCCGTACACCTGTGTGCAGGGATGTCGCCAGGCCCGAGCCTCACAGACACCATCCACGGCCAGTCACACAGTCCAGCGATGGGGGCATTCAGGACGCGTGATGTTATTGGCAGGGCAGCTTTGCCGCATGGTTCTAGTGGAATGAAAGTGTGACTAGAAACATCGATTTTAGAATACGTTCTGGTGGAATGAGAAGGTGCAAGGAAAAGTGCAAAGGCCTATTGTGAATGAACTCAATTCTTAATTGCTGCATTTCAATTGGCCATAAACAAAAGACATACAGACATACCTTCAATTACTGTACCTGGAAAGGACAGAAAAAACGGTTATCGTGGAAGGAACAATTGCAATCATGGTATCAAAACAAACTGGACGGGTTCAATGAGGTTCAACGTGGGTTCGTAAACACATGCTCGTGATGTAGTCGGAAATGTATAATCGGCTTTTCATGTATTTTTTTTTTTTAAAAAACACATGTTTCAGAGGCTTTAAACTATTTAGACAAGAAAAGCTCAAAGTGGGTACAGTGGGGTTTAACGTTGGTTAAATAAACAACATATGTTACAGAGGTGACGAATAATACGCCTAATTTGCTTATTCAGTGCTACTGCCAAACCAATGTTAGTATCGGGCATTAATTGATTGATGAAGTGTATGTGTTTTCTAGCACCGTACTCAGCAATATTCTAACTATATAGCCCGGGTCTCCAACGTGGGCTTACCACAAACCTGTTAACTTAATACAAGCAGTCTTTGTCGCCCTGACGGACACCCCCCACTATCCTACCGACACGCACGCACGCACGCACGCACGCACGCACGCACACACCAAATATGAGCCACTATTATCGTAACCCCTTTACTGGCTGAGTATTCATCTTGATCTTGATGTCAAAAACAAAACTTTACGTTTCAATATGAACAAAACCCGATTGGTGGAACTTACATGTTGTTTTCTGTATTTCCCCTTTGACAATATCCAATGCACTGAAGTCAGTAACTGTAAATACGAAGTTGTTGTTGGATGCTATTGCTCGGAGCTCATCCTTATCAACAGCACTTCCAACGCCAATAGAAATGACCTTGATGCCTGCTTGGTGCAACAAACTTCCTTCTGAAGCCGTCTTAGCCTTGTTCGACGATCCACCATCTGTGATTACGATGACTACCTGCGTCGCATCGATGCGAGCCCCATTAACGGATAGAAAACTGTTTTGTCGGACAAAGGAGAGTGCACTCGCTGTGTTCGTTGCACCACCGCTGTAACTCACAGCTCCAATTGCCTTCAACACAACAGAAGACGTTAAAGACGATATATCACCTGCAATGGACTGTTTTAACGAAACTGAGAGAGATAGGTTCTGAACGAGGTTCCCCAAAGTCAGGAGGATATTCACACCAATAGGTTGTATTCTTCTGGTGACAATTAAAAATGACGTCTTTGGGTGACTACGCTTGGACAAGTACGATAGTTTTGCTTGTAAAACTTATGACGCCTGGTCTTGATTGATTATTGTTTGTTTGTTGTTTTATGCCGCACTCAGCAATATTCCAGCTGTAGGACGGCGCTCTGTTAATAATCGAGTCTGGACCAGACAATTCAGTGATTGACACCATTGGCCTCGATCTGTGCAATTGACATGCATCAGCTCAGCCGGTTGACCTGACCACACGATCCTGTGAGTCGCCTCTTACGAGAACCATTGTTTGCTGAAGACCAATTCTAACCCGGGCATTCACGTTGTGTATCAGGCATTAACATTATGACCTGAGTATTGGGCGGTGAATGCAAGCTACTCACGGTCTAGTGACCGAAGCTCTTCCCCCTCTCCTAACTGTCCGGAGTTAAGTGAAGCAATATTGTTATGAAGGCGTTTTCGTCTATGTTGATAATCTAAGAGACTTAGTTTAGGGATTTGCCCCCAGTGCTCATTTCTCCCTAATTAACCTAGCCGAAGTTTTCACTCATTAGAGTGTTCCTTTAATAAAGTCGCATGTGTTAATTGGGCACAGTCGGTCTAATTGTTTGTCCATGCATCTTTTGATATTTTTTGCAGATAAAACCGAATGGTCGTCCCCAAGTTCATTCTTCTGACAAGCACCGGAGAGATAGGGGTCCCAAGTACCTTCATAAATAATACTATGAAAGAAAGTATTATGAATAACAGCGGTTTAAATGCACCCCACATGCAGTTTAAAATGCATTAAGCATATTAAAAATGAGTAAAATATTACCTTAATAAGATCAGTACGGCTGTCATATTGATCAAGGTTGAATTGATTTGTTACACTTGTGGAGAAAACGACCACAGAAAAGCGCACATCGGAGGGACCCACAGTAAACCCTTGGACGAAGTCGGACACAAAGGACACTTCAGTGGCAAAATCCGCTGTACCCACACTTCCGGAGGAGTCCAACACGAACACAATATCACCATGAGCATAGGTACTGCATTCTATAATATAACGCGATATCACCATGAGCCGAGGTACTGCATTCTATAATACCAAACATGATATCACCATGAGCCGAGGTACTGCATTCTATAATATCAAACATGATATCACCATGAACTGAGTTACTGCGCATGCATTCTATAATATCAAACATGATATCATCATGAGCCGAGATACTGCATGCTATAACATCAAACATGATATCATCATGAGCTGAGGAAGTGCACTCTATAATATCAAACATGATATCATCATGAGCCGAGGTACTGCATTTTATAACATCAAACATGATATCATCATGAGCCGAGGTACTGCATTTTACAATATCAAACATGATATCATCATGAGCCGAGGTACTGCATTTTACAATATCAAACATGATATCATCATGAGCCAAGATACTGCATTCTATAATATCAAACATTATATCATCATGAGCCGAGGTACTGCATTCTATAATATCAAACATGATAGCATCATGAGCCGGGATACTGCATTCTATAATATGAAACATGATATCATCATTGGCCGAGGTACTGCATTCTACGATATCACACACGAAATCATCATGAACCAAAATAACGCGTTCTACAATATCAAACACGGTATCATCAAGAGCCGAAGTACTGGATTCAATAATATCACACACGATATCACCAGGAGCCGAGGTACTGCATTCTATAATTCCGGAATGTTCGTTTGTTCAGTTTTCAAAATTTCAACCGAGAACTGTATCAACATATTTTCAAGCGTAGTCTGAAATGGAAGTCGCCAGGTTGAAACACGTGCCGTAAAGCTCGAGAAAGCTGCTTTCTTATTGGCTGACTTCTTGTCAGTCATTTCAGTGGTCCGTCAAAGTTCGCGACAGCCCGTTCTGACGTGAACCGTAATGGGATGTCCCCAGATCTTTGTTTAGCGGCAGCGAGAACTTAGATCTTACTTTAATGAGATCGGCAACTGTTGATAATTTGTTTGGTGTTGGCAAAAGAACAGATATTAATTAGATCATCCTCTGACGTGAACATAAACGTTCACATTGCAACATTATACACACAGTGCAAATTTACATTTACATTTGCACCTGCTCCAGACATGATGCAAATTTGCTCCTGGTGTAAATATACACACATATGTAAACGCGTTCACATGACAAGTATACTCACGTATGTATTTCTACACACGTATGCACATATACACACATGTGAATAGAAGCGCATGTGAACGGGGTATTAGTCTCAGCGGAACTTACCAGTTGCACCGTGTCCGCTTGCAGACCCGGCCACCAGCGCCATGAGGAATAGGGTACCTAACATGCTGAACCAAACAACCACAAACAGCAATTCGACTCTTACAATAAAATCACATCTGTTACCGAGATATGTTATATGAAGATCTGATTAACCCTCACATGGAAGCCTCAAGATAACCTTTCGTACAGCCAATCAGCGTCGAGGTTTATAATTGCTCGTTAAGAACAAATGAAGCATTTATGCTGTTGTGGATGTTTTATGCACCGTGTACTCACTGAACGTCCGGGTTCTATGTTGGTTTTTACTCAGATCTAAATTTGCGGATTAGGTTACAAAGAAATGAAGACATCTGATTGGCTCAACAACCCACATATCCTTCATTTTGATCGGGTGATCAAAGTTTTTCAGGTTTATCTGAAGCAACCTCTTGTGGAGTGTTTTTCAGATCAGTAAACAGTCTGATTGAAATGAGATTTCTCGGCGCACTTCAGAATGTTAATTCACAAGTTTGATCATTAGTTTTCGTTTCGGTAATTATGAACACTGTTTCCTCCCTCCAAGTCAATAAGAAACAATGAGAGGTCTTTGCACAGCGTCTCAACAAACAGTGTTTTCGTTGAAACATGCTCTCCCTCTGTAGTTGACCATGTCATAATTTTTGCCAGTCGGAGGTGAAGAGGTGCGTTGCACGTAAATCCTGTAATTCTGTTAACACTTCAGATAGTTGTAATGTGCTGCTCCTAACAAACGACTTTGATAGAGATTTGTCACTAAATTTGTAGCTACGGACTCTTTCATCGTGTTTTACTGATAGATTATCGATTCGAAACATACTGTAATCAACCGAAAATTGCAACACTACTTGCCTTCAAATACGAGTACCTATATTGTCAATCCGGGGGAAGGGTGGCCCAGTGGCCTAAGGCGCCGCGATTCGCTGTGCAGAGTTGCGTCCCTTTGGCACGCCACAAACCAATGATTATGGGTTCGAATCCACATTCGCCCCGATTATGTTTCTAGGTTTGTCAGCACCATACCCGTGATTGTGGGTTTCACCGAAGTGGTAAACGTCTGAGACCTGCATCACTTCGGGCTTTCCTCCCACATTAAGGTGACACGCCGTGATATAAATGGAATACTGTTAAAAGTGGCGTTTAACCCAACTCACTGTTTATCGAAGGTTGGAATCATCGGTACGGGTTCTTGGCTGCCATTGCTCAGCGCATTGGCGGATAAACAATCGTTACCGGTCCGGTTTCCAACTCGAATATATTGTTGCACAATTTAAAATAGGGCGGTCGGGTAGCCTAGTGGTTAAAGCGTTCGCTCGTCACGCAGAAGCCCATTTCTGGTGTCCCCCGCCGTGAAATTGCTTGAATATTGCTAAAAGCGGCGTAAAACCATACTCACTCACTCAATCACTCAATCAATCTAAAATATAAGTACTCTTCTTTGAAGGCAAGTGTCTTAGGAAGTGAATCATGTTGGATTTGTCTTTAGATCACGACGCATGCATTTTGCTAAAGCATCTAAAGGGCGGTTCAGATCTTTAACGGGGATTTAGTAGGACAACACTATGGGACAGCGCTGTGTAGCAACAAGTCAATTTCACAATCTTTAGAGGGAGCAGCACGGAGGGACGGTTACCACAAGGCTATGTTTCAGAGTGTCTTGAAACAAGAAACTGTCGGCCACTAAAAGTACATCATAGAAATTGTCCATTATTCAAACTGCACGAAGTAAATGTGTTGTGGTTTCCCACATGATACTTAATATAACAATGTCTACATCAAGGAAGGAATTGGCACAAGTACTAAGATCATGGTACCCCTGCAACTGGTTGAAGCTTCGGATGTTAACCGCAAGCTAGGATATTTCTTTGTACCACACCGTGGAGATTACAGGGCAAGTAATGCCCTCGGTATTCCACGCCATTGCGGCGTAACACCTACCACCACCACCCCTTCTCCTTTATGAGTGAACTTTTGCAATATGCGGCGTGAAAGAACAAACAACCATCACACTTTGTACTGTGTCTCATGTCTCTCCTTCGGCGATTCCGGGTTAGAACGTATCCCCGACGCTTGACGTAACAGGTGACTAATATGGATTGTGTGGTCAGACTCGTTGACATTATTGTTAGCAATTGTACCCATGGTATGTTGCTCATAACATCAATCACTGGTTCGTCTGATCCAAACTTATTTTTTGACAGGTCACCGTCATGTAGCTGGAACATTGCTGAGCGCGACAGTAAACAACACGCAGACAGTGTTCATTGCCTTCTAATCAAGAAACAATCACGATTTGAAATTTTATAGCATTATTTATTAATTCAATTTCGTGATATGAATTCACAACATGAATGCTACGTACATATTAAATGAATTAATCTAATTAGCAGAAATTGTTTCGTGTATGTACAATGGAAATCCATTATCTTGAGGTCCATAGGACTTGAATATGAACTGCTTGCAAAAGTAAGTCTACACAGGTTGATGGTGGCTCAAAATGAAACAAACAACAAAATTTTATTCGATGGTGATGTATTTGGTCACATTTGGTACATATCATATTTGACCGCCTCCATGGTCTTGTGGTAGAGCGTCCGCCCGGAGAGCGGAAGGTCCAGGGTTCGATCCCGGGCCGCGTCATACAAAAAGACGTTAAAAGATTGTACTTGTTGTTACCCTGTCTGGCGCTCGGCATTAAGGGGCTAAAACAAGGACTGGTCGGCTCGGAGTCAGTATACTGTGTCTGAGTGGGGTATTCATGTTAAACTGCGGCATGGTATCTCAGTGAGCTAGCACTATAAATCGGCATCAGTCCGGACTAGTACAAGCAGCCACACACACACATACACGTGCATGCACGTCGCTATATAAGTGCAATAATCTTGGACGCGACGTTAAACCCAATTTCACCTCACCTCACCTCACATATCATATTTGTGTTTGGACCTTTTGCAGTGTTTTCTTTCAGCCTGGTAACGTTTTGATAACGTTTGTAATTTTTCGGTCAAATTCAATTTTCAAGTTTTTAGTTTTTAGTTTCTTTTTCACGGCAGTTTTCATCCATATATAAACAGTTGCAATATCGGGAAAAGGAGAAAAGAGAATTACGATTTTCACAAGAGGCTCTGACACACGAGCAGGATGAAGCAGTCTTTCTCGTTACTTTCTTGAGGAATCGAAATGTCCGACATCTGTATCAATTATCGGCGATGAAGCTGAGGATGTTTGGGTGTCTCAGGTCGACACCAAGTGATGGGTAGTAGTTGTTGAAGTTGGGAACGTTGACGAGAGATTGCAAGATCCAGCGGCCATTCATTTCGCACACCAACATGCTGCCCTCACCGCCCTGTCGACAAACAGAAAATAGAAATGTATCATATATTGGGTAGGTTTCTCTGCAGAAAAAAGCCAATGGATATAACGTTGGTACTAGTTTCAGTGTTTACAAATAATTATTGGGTATTGTAACGTCGTACCATGCCTCTGTAATCATCATCAAAATAATAGTCTACGATACTGAAAATCATTGTCTACAATTGTCATTGTCATTGTTTCATTTGGGACTTTAATGCATGTTGTCCTGTCCGACTGACTTATCACTGACCTTGTGACGTAGTATATTAATGCGTACACTCCAGGAAAACTTGTTATATTTTGTACCGTTTATGAGAAATGAGAATATTTTAAGAATTTTAGAATGGTATCATACGATAAAGAGGTATGCTAAATACAACCTCTATTCTAATACAGGATCTTTACCATTCCAAAACACTCGCGTTTTAGAGATCCATGAACCATTTTAAAAAATCCTAATCCAAAAGTAGCCCTATCAATTAATCTTACATTTGGCAATTTACACTTACAGGCGAAGCCCGATATCTCGAATTTCTTGCGTTAAGAGAAATATTTCGACACATCCGACTCCCCTGATCCATATCTCCTGTTAATTCAGGTTCTCTAATTGATTGCTCAACCAGGTTCCTACCATCATGTTCCTGTACTTGATGTGTTAATGCCATCATACTGTAGAACTAGTGTTAAGTTGTGTTCTTCAATATGTTTGTGTTCGACTTATCAGGATACATTGGGACTATTTGGACAAAACATTGCGTTTGACACAACCTGGAATTCGACACATCAGGTTCGACAAATCTGGGTTAAAACGTTGTTAAATATATATTTAGTACGTTTGTCGATACTGGTTTAACGTCTCGTCAAAGATTATTGCACTTATATAGCGACGTGCATGCACGTGTGTGCGCGTGTGTGTGGCTGCTTGTACTAGACCGGACTGATGCCGATTTATAGTGCTAGCTCACTGAGATACCATGCCGCAGTTTAACATGAATACCCCACTCAGACACAGTATACTGACTCCGAGCCGATCAGTCCTTGTTTTAGCCCCTTAATGCAGAGCGCCAGACAGGGTAACAACAAATACCACCTTTTAACGTCTTTTGGTATGACGCCGCCGGAGATCGAACCCCGGACCTTCCGCTCTCCGGGCGGACGCTCTACCACAAGACCACGGAGGCGGCACATAAGAAGAAGCTTGGGTGGGTGAATATGGTTATTGTGCATTATGGTCAGCCCCTTGTGAGTCATGTTGTTGTTTGCTGTTTTTGTTGTTAAACGCCGCACTCAGCAATATTCCAGCTTTATGACGGCGGTCTGTAAAATAATCGAGTCTGGACCAGACAATCCAGTAATTGAAATCATGAGCATCCATCTACGCAATTGGGATCGATGACATGCTTCAACCAAGTCAGCGAGCCTGACCATCCGATCCCGTTAGTCGCCTCTTACGACAAGCATAGTCACCTTTTACGGCAGGCATGGGTTGCTGAAAACCTATTTTAGCCCGGAACTTCACGGGTCTTGAATACATCAGGAATACGTAGTATAGTTACGTCCACTAGGCCTGTACCAATTAGTTTCGGACTCTAAAGCATTAGCAAGTTAAAACCCTGTTAGTCCGGAAATCGTGTTATGAATGTCTATATAAACAAGTTGACATTAAACATACCCATGAGTCGTTTATCTGAAAAGTTGTCAATCTTGACAATTTCACATAAAACGGCACTTACAGGATTAACGAGGTTTCAGTAAAGTATAAAAAACACGGTCGACTGACAAGTCATCTTGCTCCTACCATCTGGACGGTTTTGGTAGCCTATTGGTAAAGGCGTTCGCACATCGCGCCGAAAACCCGGGTTCGATTCCCCACATGAGTACAATATCTCTAGCCAATTTCAGGTTTCCCGTTAAAAATAATTCATTCACTCACTGCTACGACCTTTATTTGGCCTATTGGACTTGTTGTCAAATGATGGCGTAGCATACTTAAAGGTAAATGTTACACTTACAATGCATGGACTGCTGGTCTGGTTCCCTAACTCCAGACACAGAGTCCTGTTGGGTATAGAGATGCTTCTGGTGTAGCGGTACAGGAGGGAACACATTGCAGGGCTGATGTATCTGGCAGCTATTTCTCTCAAGCTTGTTTGAGGGATGAAGTTGTTATCTTAAAAAGAAACAGTCGTACTTAAACAATATGTTTACAATAAAATAATTTATTCACAGGGAGAGAGAGAGAGAGAGAGAGAGAGAGAGAGAGAGAGAGAGAGTGAGTGAGTAAGTGAGTGAGTTTGGTTTAACGTCGCTTTTAACAGTATTCCAGTCATATCACGGCGTGTCAGCTTAATGTGGGAGGAAAGCCCGAAGTGATGCAGGTCTCAGACGTTTACCACTTCGGTGAAACCCACGAGCACGCGTATGGTGCTGACAAACCTAGAAACATAATCGGGGCGAACCGGGGAGAGAGAGAGAGAGAGAGAGAGAGAGAGAGAGAGAGAGAGAGAGAGAGAGAGAGAGAGAGAGAGAGAGAGAGAGAGAGAGAGAGAGAGAGAGAGAGAGACGCACACACACACACACACACATTATATATATGGGGGTAGTATGGGACTCTTTTTAAAACCTTTTTTTAGTCATGAGTATGCACATGTGGACCACCCCGTTATTTAGTAAGAGTGCGATTCTCACTTGAATGTTATTTTTTTACATGTAGCTCATTCTAATTCAGCTCCATTACGTGGGTGGACAACCCTGATATACCATTATCCAAGTCAACCAAGAAATACAAGCCAATGTCCCTGACACATGATCAGTACTTGCTGATCCAACCTGTCTTCTAGACTCACCTCTCTCCATTGTCCATCCAGCAATGACGCATCTATCAAAGATCACCTCACATTCTGAATCATTTCGGGCTTGAGGAAGACAGACAGGATATGCGCAGCCGTTGTACTCGACGTCTCCAGCAAGCGTTAATACAGCTATGTCATCACCTGTAAAGGGAATCGTCAATGGATAGCCAGTCAAGGAAAATACATGTCTGACGCAATCATCATTGGTGACAAAGATTCGGTATTTCAAGCATTTCAATATCCAACATGTCAGTTTTTCCTGCTTTCCCCTAAGGCTCCGACTATTTAATCTTCTTAGGGAACATTGGATGGTTGGTTTTTTTAAAAAGAGCATCTGTTCCTGAAAAATATGAAAAATGTAATTTGTCTTCAGATTTTACCCCTTAAATTAGGTTTTCACTGGACAAGTCCCAGAAAAATGGGTAGAGAAAAAAATATTTCGGTTTACCTTTCTGTAAAACATGTGTGTTTTGAAGCAGCGTTGTCGGTAAAAAAATCATGTCTCCAACAAAAATTTTCCCCTTCCCAGAATATTAAATGCGTCACTGTTACGTTGGTACATATTTCGTCACCGTTAGGATATCAATACCTTTTAGATTGGTAAGATGGATAAAGCACGGTTGTTGCTACTTCTACAGTGACGGTGTTGTTGACACCTCCAGCTCCTCCTACTTCAACGCTGTGAGCAGATGACCTGGAACAGGTCACACATACATCAGACAACGACCTTAACCTCCAAAAATCAAACGTTATGTTTGACTTGACGTTCATACAGTCTTTACATATTAGGTTTATGAGAACTAATAGTTGTATTAACTGTTGGTAAAATCAAAGAACAGTTTGATGTATAAGGCCACGGAGACATGTCAAATGGCGCTTTACAGTGTATGTTCATCAGGACTATGCCATTTCTTTTTCAATTCGATTAACGATTTGTTTTTGTTTGTATGAAGTTTGATGTTCCAGCTATATGACGGCGATCTGTAAACAATTGAGTCTGGACCAGACAGTCCAGTAATTGAGCACCCATCTACGCAAATGGGATACAATGACATGCATCAACCACGCCAGCAAACCTGACCACCCGATCCCGTCGGTCGCCTCTTAAGACAAGCATGAGTTGCTGAAGAAACGAATTATTGTTCCGGAGTCATACGTCAACAGCAATTGTCCTTAAAGTGTGTTCGAATCAAGTCGGGGCTAACCGTGTTCCATGTATTGGCATATACATATTGTACTCGTATGATTGATTAACTGTTTGATTGTTGTTTAATGCCGCACTCAGCAATATTCCAGCTATATGACGGCTGTCTGTTAGTAATCGAGTCTGGACCAGACAATCCTGTGATTGACATCATGAGCAACGATCCACGCAATTGGGGTACGATGACATGCATCAACCAAGTCAGCGAGCCTGACCACCTGATCCCGTTAGTAGCTGCACAGTACAATCGATACAGTTCGTGTTTGCTGTGTTTCTAACTGAATGCTTTTGAAGAAAGAAGTTAATTTACATACTTGCTGATGCATGACGCAGTGGTAATAACCTTCCATCTCCCGACAAGCACACCACCACAGATGAAACCAGGGATGCGAGAAGTTCCTGGTGCTAGCAGCACTTTCACCACCCATGGCCAGTTACATTTAGTTGTACTTGTTGAAGTGATGGGGCCATTTACACAGCCTATAATAATAATAATAATAATAATAATAATAATAATAATAATAATAGCAATAACCTGTGCTAGAACACTTTTACGACCCAAAGACAGTTACATTTTTGTTGTACTTGAAGTGATTGGATAATAATAAAAACCATAATAATAACAATAATAATATACATTTTACATAAGATTCCACACCATGTATGAATGTCGCATGCACTGGGATCACTGTGGATTTCAATGGCATCATCATCTCCCTGGGGAGTATACAACCCAAGTTAAAGCTCTAGAAGGTCACACGACCAGCTCATCCTACCGGGTACCAATTCGCTGCTTGATGAAGGCAATTGACGAAGGCCGTTTTTACACTTATTAATCTGTACTTAACATAATTTAGGATGCGCCTTTGATTTGATTTGATCTGTAGAGAACGCAAGAGGAACAGTGATTTTAGCTTAACGACTGCCGCCAGGTTGCATGGTGTCACGTGATAAACATGTGCACATTGCTAGTTCCAATATGGTATTGTCATACAGACGAGCCAGACGAGGTTCCACTGGTCTGAGACGGCATGCCGAATGGAGACTTACTATTACTAACAAAATTGTTCAATTGTTTACATACATACCCATGGCCACCGTATCACCTGAAATGTAAAATGCAATTTATTTGGTAATGTTGATTTTATATCTTGGCCTCAGGATTTAACCAAAATAGCATTGTTCCCTTGCTTTACTTTCTGAATATCCAGAAAAAATGTGTTGTGAAAAAAACCCATTTTAGCCCGCCCCATGAATGTCAACGGGGACCTCCCAAAGTAGGTTGGTAGCACTTTTAAAACACACGATTAATTTATTATAGGCCAACACTGCATTCCAAATCCAGTGTTTGCATAAAATTAAAAGAACAATGTCTTTCTGTCTCATGTAAATGTAGCCACATGGTTTTTTTTTCGAGATCAATATGTATATCAATTATATATTCCCAATTATAAAGGCTTAAGTGTCTTACATGTTGATTTTTGTAGTGCTTCTTTGATGTTTTCCAAACCCTGGAAATTCTGGACGGTGAATACATTGTCGCTGTTTGTAGCTATGGCATTCAATTCAGCCTTGTTGTTGAACCTCCCAACACCAACAGCAAAAATAATAATGCCCATTTGGTGAAGGTATTTGGCTTCGGTTACGGTTCTGGTATAATTTATTGAATTTCCGTCTGTGATTACCACCAAAATTCTATTTGCTGCGGCCCGGCCCCCACTGGCGGGTCGAAATGATTCCTTACGAACGTATTCAAGGCCTTTGAATGTGTTCGTTCCGCCGTCCAAAAAAGGGATACTTCTTATTGCCTGTAACATAGTAAGTCAGAAAGTGAGTGAGATTGGTTTAACACTGCTTTGAACAGTATTTCAGTAAAATGTAAATCACGACTTGTCAGCTTGATGTGGGTGGAAAGTCCGAAATGATGCAGGTCTAAGACGTATACCACTTTGGTTTATCCCACGAGTAGGGTATGGTGCGGACGGACTGGGAATCATAATCAGTGCAAATATTGGATTAAAACCCATTACCATGGGTTTCCGGCCCGCCTTTCGGAAGAAACTATGCACAGTGAATTCCGGAGCTTTAGACGACTTAGCCACCCGTAAAGAAAATAAAATCGCTGTCATAAGGATACATGAGAAAACTTCGGTTCTCTTTTTTTCAAATACGTGTATAACTGTTACGATGTATGATCAGTCGGGATTTTTCAACAGGACAAGTACAAAATATGATTTTGTGTAATCTCTACGTGAAATGTGCGCCGAACTCAGTTTGTTTGTTTGTTTGTTGTTTTACGCCGCACTCAGCAATATTCCAGCTATATGACGGCGGTCTGTAAATAATCGAGTCTGGACCATGCAGTCCAGTGATTGACATCATGAGCATCGATCCACGCAATTGGAATACGATGACATGCATCAACCAAGTCAGCGAGGCTGACCACCAGATGCTGTTAGTCGCCTTTTACGACAAGCATAATCGCATTTTAGGGCAAGCATGGGTTGCTGAAGACCTATACTACCCTGGATCTTCACGTGTCTCCCGAACTCAGTAGTATGCCAGGTATATGATGGCTATAAAAAATCGAATCTAGACCAGACAACCCAGCTTTTTGGTTTATCATGCTCGCAACATTCCACGCAAATGGGATACGATTACATGAAATCAACCAAGTCAGCGAGAATGACCGCCCGACCTGCGTAATTCCATTGCCTCCTGGGGACCGACCATTTGATATCCTGGGTTGGGTTAGGGGTCCTGGGATTTTATCGAAAAAATGTCCCCAACAATTCTTGAAAGCAATAATTATGCTTAGAATGTTGAAAAAAAATATTGCATTTTTTTAAGGTGTTTTTCTTAAAAAGAAGGCCAGTCTGATATAAATACCGTAAACTACATTTAAAACAAACACGCTTATAACGAACTGACGGATATAACGAAGTGTTTAGATCCCGTCCATTTGCTGTTAGAGTATATTTGCTGTATATATGCTTATAACGAACTACGGTTATAATGAACTAAACTTAGTGGTCCCTTTGAGTTTGTTATAACCGTAGTTTACTGTAATAAGTAATATCAGGTAATGTAGCTATTGCTGAAAAATATCTAATCTTGATACAAAATCCCATATGGCTTCATAAATCAACCAGCCTTATTGTTGTTTACACACCACTTGTCAAAACAGACATTGTAATGGGTAATATCTTAAATTATTAGGAATTAATTTTGACAGATTGGAAAATATGGCTGATGATAATTACAAAAATGTCACTAGATGTCTACACAACATTTTAATAAATGTTTCTCCAACAGAGTAATTCATGTGAGCCCAGAAAAGTATCATGATCAGCACTTTGCAACATCCGAGTCAAAATGAAAATAGTTTGCGCAAATGTGTGTGTGTGTGTGTGAGTGTGTGTGTGTGTGTGTGTGTGTGTGTGTGTGTGTGTGTGTGTGTGTGTGTGTGTGTGTGTGTGTGTGTGTGTGTGTGTGTGTGTGTGTGTGTGTGTGTGTGTGTGTGTGTGTGTGTGTGTGCCTGCTTGTACTAGACAGGACTGAAGCCGATTTATAGCGCTAGCTAACTGAGATACCATGCCGCAGTTTAACATGAATAACCCATTCAGACACAGTGTGCTGACTCCGAGCCGACAAACAAACTTACGCGTTCCATTAAGCTGTCATGGATGTGGTTCGAATCCTCGTGCATGCATCGCCCCGATTATGTTTTTAGGTTTGAAGAACCATACCCATGCTCTAGGGCTTCACCACGGTGGGAAGCGTCTCAGATTTCTACGCGAATGTGTGTTGTTTTTTTGTTTTTTGTTTTTGTTGTTTTTTGTTGATTTTTGTTTGTTTGGGGGGTGGGGGTAAATATCCTATATTAAGAAGAAACATTATTTCTAGCGAGCTAATACATAGTGTTTCAATTCTGTGCTCGAAAAATCTCTTCCCATGTCTCACATCATTACTTAACATTGTACGTTTTCCTGGAATGTTCGCATTAATAAAGATTACGCCAGAAGATAAGTGATGTGTTTCTTAGACAGTGGCGTAACTACATATATGAAAGTTACCCAAACTTGTAAAATGCCAAGCGACGTCACAGTTAGACACTAATGTCCAGGATAGTGGACTATTCTATGGATAATGACAGCAATTATCCCAATAGTTTCTCAGTTTCCCGATGGTTTATTCTGACTCGATCATCGAATGACACATTCGTCACCACTCGCCCCTCCTGCAAGAGGACACTTCCCCTATCGATGAATGATTTTGTGCGAAAATACGACAAACCATTCAGAATGCAAGTACGACTTCAAGTACAGTTGTAACTATTGAAAAGGTTCACACAGTAAATGTATCTAGTGAAGAAGTGTCTTCAATACGATTCGCAGACTTGATACCGGATATTGTTCGTGGCTTCTTGCTAAACATACTATGGGGAACAAGGTAAAGTTTGCTCAAAAGTGAGGATAGTTTTCTTTGAACTCCGCAGGAGGGCATTCCACTGTCCCAGCACAGGCCTGTGTGTGGTTGACAGTTGGTGATTAATTGTTACCAGATGGCGTTATATGCTGGGGTAGCAGACGACACACCATTGTAAGATGCATTGAAAAAAACAACTCCACGCTTACTTGTAAGCATAGGGGCAATACATTCTATTATCACTGTGTCAAGTCTTTGTAACCATTTAAAATTCAGATATTTTTAATAATACAATTTTTATAATACATACTAAATAACTGTAATACCCTGTAAAATAGAGTAGAGAGTCCATTGGAAAGACGATTCACCTTAAAATTGTCACATATGCAACCACATTTCAGTTCAATGAATGCACATGTTTTGTTTTCTGAAAAATGAGGATATACTTTCCTGCTTTTGATTTCATAGGAGTTAGAGCAACAGTTGATGTCACAATTTTGAAGACAGCAAATGATGGTTTTCAATCGAACGTCCATCAGCCAACACCACATCGTGGAACGCTAAGTATACAGTCTTGTTTTCTCTTTTTTTTGCTGATTAACGTTTACATTTCAAAGGCAGGGAAAGTTGCATTAATGTCATAACGCATTTTAGGCCAGAGCTACCAGGCTAAGATTGTATGTCACAGGGAGAAAATGGACACAGCAGTGTGGGCTCGAAGTGGAGTGACTTGACTACAATAATTATTAACAACAAACAAAGAAACACAAATCTAAATGAAATGAAATTGACAAAGAGGAACAAGCTTTAAGGCAGCACATCTCTTTATTCCATGACAATCTATCGAGAAACACGGTTGGTTTGATCAGTTACTTTTGATGAAGTTGATAATGTCTGGGTGTCTGAGGTCGACACCGAGGGACGGGAAACTGGCGGAGCAGCTGGGATAGTTGATAAGGGACTGAATAATCCATTTGCCTTGTACCAAACAGCTGACCATGGCCCCCTCGTCTCCCTGTAAAGTAAGGACTTCTATGAGTGGGGTGTCACCCTGGATAGTGGCTTAGTTCAAATGTGCCTCTGTTCACCAAGCAGGGAATGGTATGTGAGGTGGATGTAAAAACCTTCTAACGCCCCTGGGCAGCTTGGGTTGTATACTCCCAAGGGAGTTGAGAATGAAAAGTGGAATGCAAACGGATCCACTGGTCGGGGGTGAAATAAAAACCGCATTTAAGCAGATACTAGTACCTGGATACCTGCGGTATATAAATGTATAGTTTTTAAAAAAAATGAGACATTACCATCGCATAATTCCTAAATATCAAATGATCATTCTACCATACATTTGGAAAATACCCAATTCTCATTGGTCGCGCAGAGGTTTCAAATAACAATAACCTTCTGTGATTGAAACGCCCGCATCATCATGGAAGAACTGTTTTCCTGCAATCTTGACGGTAGGAAATTTCAATTCATTATGTAGAATTAAACCTTGAAAAGCTCGCTTCATTTCTTTTTAATGTGTGTTTTCTAACCCCGCACTAAGCAATAATCCAGTTTTATGACAACGGCCTTGCATTGAGCCTGGATCAGACAATCCAGTAATTGACATTGTGAGCAAGGATCCACAACGATCCAGAAACAAACAGTAAGTTCCTCCTCCCCTACACGCATGCACGGTGATTAAATGGTCCTGAATAATAATCACGCAAGAGAGGACATACCTGACATGGCACCTGTGTAGGGATATCTGGCACTAGGCAGACTGTGTTTTCAGGTGGGCTGTAGTTTTTCACATGTGTGTAGACGGCATTACAAACCGTAGGATTGAGACTCCTGCCCTTGGTCACTCGCAGTCGGCGGGAGAGAGACAGCGTCACCTCTGAAACCATTTGTATATTGACCTGAATGATACGACACCAGGTGTCTGTCAAAACATTTGAAATGTTAATTTGCACACAGTCATGCCAGTAAACTCAAATATACAGACGACCATAAATAATCGAGTCTAGACCAGACAATCCCGCGAATGACATCAGGAGCATTGATCTATGCACTGATAGTTATGTCGTGATATCAGTTTAGTATGACATAGCTATTAGTCTGATCCAGATTCTATTATTTACAGGCCGCCGTTATGTAGCAAGAGTATTTCTGACTGTGTCGTTTAACAACAAACAAACGAAATTGATAGATATTCTTATAAAAATTTGACCTACTACTGTATATTCCCCATCCAGCAAAGGTACACGTCTTCATGGTGGCGTCTTCACATTGGTTATCCCGTGGTGCAGGGAGGCAGGCGGGAAGGACACATCTGTTGAAGACCACGTCTTCCGCTAGATGTAGAACTGCGATGTCGTTATCTGGAACATTGGAAAAAGGTGGTGAGTGAGTGAGTGAGTTTTGTCGAACTGCTTTTTTAACAGTATCTCACGGTTGTCAGCGTAATGTAGGGGACAGGTTGGATATTGTGGGATGGGGAGGGGGTGACACTCGAGTTGATGAAGGGACTAGACTAAACACAGATCAGCCGTCTCCGTTGATCGTGGGTAAGGTGTGACTCGCGAAGGATCATAATCAGGGCCCATCTTGGATCTGAACCCACAAGATGCGCATGATGGCATGACTAAGGGAGGCAACTCTTCGCAGCGAATTGAAGCGTTTTAGACTACATCTATGCCCCCTAAATGCACTGCGGCAAGAATATTCCACATTGAAGCATATTTATTATCAAGTGATAATCGTGGTGCATATATATTGATGTGCAAAATGCAAAAATGTTATTTATAATGTAACGTAAGTGAGTATGCTTGGTGTAGCGCCGCTTCGAAACGTATCACGGTGTTACCTTGGTGTGGGTGGTGAGTGACGCATGTGGTCGGCGTTAACCACTTTGGTCAAACCCAAGAGCACGGTTATGGTGCTGTAAATGATCTTAATCAATGTGAATCTAGGGTTCGAACCCGCGATCATAGAATTCTGGCACAGGTAGCAGAGCTCCTTAGACGACTGGGCCACCAGTGCCCCATGCGATAATTAGATATGGTCACCCGGGATCCTGAGCTTCATAAGGTAATTAGATATAGGCCCTTAAAAGTAACGTTTTACTGATAAAGGAAGACCATATTTTAATGTGCTGATCAGGGTTGCATAAAAACTTAAAGATAAATGTCTACCACCATTAATTGAAAACACTGAAAGTCCAATGATTAAGTCAACGTAAAATCTAAACATATTCCACTGGTTTACATTTATCCTTAGCGTTACCTGGAAGATGTCCTTTAATTACCTTTCCCTGCATAAAGTGGATGGATGACGGTTTTGTGGACCTTAACAACCACTTCAAAGTTGTTCCCATTCAGGGCTTCGTTGTCTAACAGCAGGTTGTTCTCACCAGCAATAACAGAGTGTGGGACGTACCTGGGAGTGAAATCAGTATCGAAGCACTGTCATTTGCGTAACCTGGAGAATGTTTTTGGTGTGGTTTCTTATTAATTTATTGATTTTAAACCACATGGATAATAATATCATTCGTAAGAACGATGGCTAATATACATATTATAAGTTGTAATTACATATAACATGAAGAATTTTATAGAGATCTTCTGGGGAATCATATTGATGACTATTAAAACAAAATTGTTATGTATTTGGTGTCGCAATACAATTTTTATCACAAAATCACTCAAATGAACCAACACTTTTGTTATCAGTGACACTATATGGTTCTAAGGCTAAGGTCATAAAGATGGATATATAATAAATAGAAAATTTGTCTTTTCATGGCATTGGTCTTGTGGTAGAGGGTGCGCACGGTGAGCAGAAGGTCGGGGGGTTCGATCCCCGGCTGCGTTATACCAAAAGACGTTAAAAGATTGACAATGTACTTGTTGTTACCCTGCCTGGCGCTCGGCATTAAGGGGCTAAAACAAGGACTGGTTGGCTCAGAGTCAGTAAAATGCCACTCAGTAACAAGAAAACTCAAATATCCTCCATTTATTGTACGTTCGTGAAGGCACTGATATAACCAAACTGAAAATAATTTCATCAGACTTTGAAAAGTGGTATTTCTTTGAAAAGAAGACGTACTTCAACACTATGGTTGCCTTGTGATGCAGGGTTCATCTTTACCTGGTGGCACAAGAGGCGGTTGTGATCACTCTCCTCTTCCCGATGAGAGCCCCCGTACACCTGTGTGCAGGGATGTCGCCAGGCCCGAGCCTCACAGACACCATCCACGGCCACTCACACAGTCCAGCGATGGGGGCATTCAGGACGCGTGATGTTATTGGCAGGGCAGCTTTGCCGCATGGTTCTAGTGGAATGAAAGTGTGACTAGAAACATCGATTTTAGAATACGTTCTGGTGGAATGAGAAGGTGCAAGAAAAAGTGCAAAGGCCTATTGTGAATGAACTCAATTCTTAATTGCTGCATTTCAATTGGCCATAAACAAAAGACATACAGACATACCTTCAATTACTGTACCTGGAAAGGACAGAAAAAAACGGTTATCGTGGAAGGAACAATTGCAATCATGGTATCAAAACAAACTGGACAAGAAAAACTCAAGCGGGTTCAATGAAGTTCAACGTGGATTCGTAAACACATGCTCGTGATGTAGTCGGAAATGTATAATCGGCTTTTCATGTATTATTTTAAAAAAACACATGTTTCAGAGGCTTTAAACTATATAGACAAGAAAAGCTCAAAGTGGGTACAGTTGGGTTTAACGTTGGTTAAATAAACAACATATGTTACAGAGGTGACGAATAATACGCCTAATTTGCTTATTCAGTACTACTGCCAAACCAATGTTAGTATCGGGCATTAATTGATTGATTAAGTGTATGTGTTTTTTAGCACCGTACTCAGCAATATTCCAGCTATATGGCCCGGGTCTCCAGCGTGGGCTGACCACAAACCTGTTAACTTAATACGAGCAGTCTTTGTCGCCCTGACGGACACCCCCCACTCTCCTACTGACACACAAGCAAGCACGCACGCACGCACGCACGCACGCACGCACGCACGCACGCACGCACGCACGCACACACACACCTAATATGAGCCACTATTATCGTAACCCCTTTACTGGCTGAGTATTCATCTTGATCTTGATGTCGAAAACAAAACTTTACGTTTCAATATGAACAAAACCCGATTGGTGGAACTTACATGTTGTTTTCTGTATTTCCCGTTTGACAATATCCAATGCACTGAAGTCAGTAACTGTAAATACGAAGTTGTTGTTGGATGCTATTGCTCGGAGCTCCTTCTTATCAACAGCACTTCCAACGCCAATAGAAATGACCTTGATTCCTGCTTGGTGCAACAAACTTCCTTCTGAAGCCGTCTTAGCCTTGTTCGACGATCCACCATCTGTGATTACGATGACTACCTGCGTGGCATCGATGCGAGCCCCATTAACGGATAGAAAACTGTTTTGTCGGACAAAGGAGAGTGCACTCGCCGTGTTCGTTTCACCACCGCTGTAACTCACAGCTCCAATTGCCTTCAACACAACAGAAGACGTTAAAGACGATATATCACCTGCAATGGACTGTTTTAACGAAACTGAGAGAGATAGGTTCTGAACGAGGTTCCCCAAAGTCAGGAGGATATTCACACCAATAGGTTGTATTCTTCTGGTGACAATTAAAAATGATGTCTTTGGGTGACGATGCTTGGACAAGTACGATAGTTTTGCTTGTAAAACTTATGACGCCTGGTCTTGATTGATTATTGTTTGTTTGTTGTTTTATGCCGCACTCAGCAATATTCCAGCTGTAGGACGGCGCTCTGTTAATAATCGAGTCTGGACCAGACAATTCAGTGATTGACACTATTGGCCTCGATCTGTGCAATTGACATGCATCTGCTCAGCCGGTTGACCTGACCACACGATCCTGTGAGTCGCCTCTTACGAGAACCATTGTTTGCTGAAGACCAATTCTAACCCGGGCATTCACGTTGTGTATCAGGCATTAACATTATGACCTGAGTATTGGGCGGTGAATGCAAGCTACTCACGGTCTAGTGACCGTAGCTCTTCCCCCTCTCCTAACTGTCCGGAGTTAGGTTACGCTTTTGGTCGAGTACCTTGCAACTTTGGGAAGTTTAGAATTTCCTCGCTCAGTCGAAGCGATTTTACTCTATGAAGCAATGTTATGAAGGCGTTCTCGTCTATGTTGATAATCTAAGAGACTTAGTTTAGAGATATGCCCCCAGTGCTCATTTCTCCCTAATTAACCTAGCCGAAGTTTTCACTCATTAGATTGTTCCTTTAATTAAGTCGCATGTGTTAGTTGGGCACAATCGGTCTAATTGTCTGTCCATGCATCTTTTGATATTTTTTGCAGATAAAACCGAATGGTCGTCCCCTAGTTCATTCTTCTGACAAGCACCGGAGAGATGGGGGTCCCAAGTACCTTCATAAATAATATCATGAAAGAAAGTATTATGAATAACAGCGGTTTAAATGCACCCCACATGCAGTTTAAAATGCATTAAGCATATTAAAAATATTACCTTAATAAGATCAGTACGGCTGTCATATTGATCAAGGTTGAATTGATTTCTGACTCTTGAGGAGAAAACGACCACAGAAAAGCGCACAGCGGAGGGACCCACAGGAAACCCTTGGACGAAGTCGGACACAAAGGACACTTCAGTGGCAAAATTCGCTGTACCCACACTTCCGGATGAGTCCAACACGAACACAATATCACCACGAGCCGAGGTACTGCATTCTATAATACCAAACATGATATCACCATGAGCATAGGTACTGCATTCTATAATATAACGCAATATCACCATGAGCCGAGGTACTGCATTCTATAATACCAAACATGATATCACCATGAGCCGAGGTACTGCATTCTATAATATCAAAAATGATATCACCATGAACTGAGTTACTGCGCATGCATTCTATAATATCAAACATGATATCATCATGAGCCGAGATACTGCATGCTATAACATCAAACATGATATCATCATGAGCTGAGGAAGTGCACTCTATAATATCAAACATGATATCATCATGAGCCGAGGTACTGCATTTTATAACATCAAACATGATATCATCATGAGCCGAGGTACTGCATTTTACAATATCAAACATGATATCATCATGAGCCGAGGTACTGCATTCTATAATATCAAACATGATATCATCATGAGCCAAGGTACTGCATTCTATTATATCAAACATGATAGCATCATGAGCCGGGATACTGCATTCTATAATATGAAACATGATATCATCATTGGCCGAGGTACTGCATTCTACGATATCACACACGAAATCATCATGAACCAAAGTAACGCGTTCTACAATATCAAACACGGTATCATCAAGAGCCGAAGTACTGGATTCAATAATATCACACACGATATCACCAGGAGCCGAGGTACTGCATTCTATAATTCCGGAATGTTCGTTTGTTCAGTTTTCAAAATTTCAACCGAGAACTGTATCAACATATTTTCAAGCGTAGTCTGAAATGGAAGTCGCCAGGTTGAAACACGTGCCGTAAAGCTCGAGAAAGCTGCTTTCTTATTGGCTGACTTTTTGTCAGTCATTTCAGTGGTCCGTCAAAGTTCGCGACAGGTCGTTCTGACGTGACCCGTAATGGGATGTCCCCAGATCTTTGTTTAGCGGCAGCGAGAACTTAGATCTTACTTTAATGAGATCGGCAACTGTTGATAATTTGTTTGGTGTTGGCAAAAGAACAGATATTAATTAGATCATCCTCTGACGTGAACATAAACGTTCACATTGCAACATTATACACACAGTGCAAATTTACATTTACATTTGCACCTGCTCCAGACATGATGCAAATTTGCTCCTGGTGTAAATATACACACATATGTAAACGCGTTCAAGTATACTCACGTATGTATTTCTACACACGTATGCACATATACACACATGTGAATAGAAGCGCATGTGAACGGGGTATTAGTCTCAGCGGAACTTACCAGTTGCACCCTGTCCGCTTGCAGACCCGGCCACCAGCGCCATGAGGAATAGGGTACCTAACATGCTGACCAAACAACCACAAACAGCAATTCGACTCTTACAATAAAATCACATCTGTTACCGAGATATGTTATATGAAGATCTGATTAACCCTCACATGGAAGCCTCAAGATAACCTTTCGTACAGCCAATCAGCGTCGAGGTTTCTAATTGCTCGTTAAGAACAAATGAAGCATTTATGCTGTTGTGGATGTTTTATGTACCGTGTACTCACTGAACGTCCGGGTTCTATGTTGGTTTTTACTAAGATCTAAATTTGCGGATTAGGTTACAAAGAAATGAAGACATCTGATTGGCTCAACAACCCACATATCCTTCATTTTGATCGGGTGATCAAAGTTTTTCAGGTTTATCTGAAGCAACCTCTTGTGGAGTGTTTTTCAGATCAGTAAACAGTCTGATTGAAATGAGATTTCTCGGCGCACTTCAGAATGTTAATTCACAAGTTTGATCATTAGTTTTCGTTTCGGTAATTATGAACACTGTTTCCTCCCTCCAAGTCAATAAGAAACACAGCGTCTCAACAAACAGTGTTTTCGTTGAAACATGCTCTCCCTCTGTAGTTGACAATGTCATAATTTTTGCCAGTCGGAGGTGAAGAGGTGCATTGCACGTAAATCCTGTAATTCTGTTAACACTTCAGATAGTTGTAATGTGCTGCTCCTAACAAACGACTTTGATAGAGATTTGTCACTACATTTGTAGCTACGGACTCTTTCATAGTGTTTTACTGATAGATTTTCGATTCGAAACATACTGTAATCAACCGAAAATTGCAACACTATTCGCTTCCTAATACACTTGCCTTCAAATACGAGTACCTTTATTGTCAATCCGGGGGCACGGATGGCCCAGTCGTCTAAGGTGCCGCGATTCGCTGTGCAGAGTTGCGTCCCTTGGGCACGCCACAAACCAATGATTATGGGTTCGAATCCCGATTCGCCCGAAGTATGTTTCTAGGTTTGTCAGCAACATACCCGTGATTGTGGGTTTCACCGAAGTGGTAAACGTCTGAGACCTGCATCATTTCGGGCTTTCCTCCCACATTAAGCTGACACGCCGTGATATAACTGGAATACTGTTAAAAGTGGCGTTAAACCCAACTTACTCACTCACTCACTCTAAAATAGGGGCGGTCGGGTAGCCTAGTGGTTAAAGCGTTCGCTCGTCACGCAGAAGCCCATTTCCGGTGTCCCCCGCCGTGATGTTGCTGGAATATTGCTAAAAGCGGCGTAAAACCATACTCACTCACTCACTCACTCAATCTAAAAAAAAGGCAAGTGGGTTTTAGGAAGTGAATCATGTTGGATTTGTCTTTAGATCACGACGCATGCAATTTGCTAAAGCATATAAAGGGCGGTTCAGATCTTAAACGGGGATTTAGTAGGACAACACTATGGGACAGTCTGTAGCGCTGTGTAGCAACAAGTCAATATCACAATCCTTAGAGGGAGCAGAACGGAGGTACGGTTACCGCAAGGTTATGTTTCAGAGTGTCTTGAAACAAGAAACTGTCGGCCACTAAAAGTACACAGTTGAAATGGTCCATTATTCAAACTGCACGAAGCAAATGTGTCGTGGTTTCCCATATGATACTTAATATAACAATGTCTACATCAAGGAAGGAATTGGCACCAGAACTAAGATCATGGTACCCCTGTAACTGGTTGAAGCTTCTTATGTTAACCGCAAGCTAGGATATTTGTTTGTACCACACCGTGGGGATTACAGGGCAAGTATCCTACGCCATTGCGGCGTAACACCCACCACCACCCCTACTCCTTTATGAGTGAACCTTTGCAAGATGCAGCGTGAAAGAACAAACAAACCATCACACTTTGAACAATGTCTCATGTCTCTCCCGTGGTGATTCCGGGTTAGAACGAATGCACAATGCTGGACGCAACAGGCGACAAATATGGATTGTGTGGTCAGACTCGTTGAGCAATTGTACCCATGGTATGTTGCTCATAACATCAATCACTGGTTCCTCTGATCCAAACTTAATTTTTGACAGGTCACCGTCATGAAGCTGGAACATTGCTGAGCGCGACAGTAAACAACACGCAGACAGTGTTCATTGCCATCTAATCAAGAAACAATCACGATTTGAAATTTTATAGCATTATTTATTAATTCTATTTCGTGATATGAATTCACAACATGAATGCTACGTACATAATATATGAATTTATCTAATTAGCAAAAATTGTTTCGTGTATGTACAATGTAAATCCATTATCTTGAGGTCCATAGGACTTGAATATGAACTGCTTGCAAAAGAAAGTCTACACAGGTTGATGGTGGCTCAAAATGAAACAAACAACAAAATTATATTCGATGGTGATGTATTTGGTCACATTTGGTACATATCGTATTTGTGTTTGGACCTTTTGCAGTGTTTTCTTTCAGCCTGGTAACGTTTTGATAACGTTTGTAATTTTTCGGTCAAATTCAATTTTCAAGTTTGTAGTTTTTAGTTTCTTTTGCACGGCAGTTTTCATCCATATATAGACAGTTGCAATATCGAGAAAAGAGATTTACGATTTTCACAAGAGGCTCTGACACACGAGCAGGATGAAGCAGTCTTTCTCGTTACTTTCTTGAGGAATCGAAATGTCCGACATCTGTATCAATTATCGGCGATGAAGCTGAGGATGTTTGGGTGTCTCAGGTCGACACCAAGTGATGGGTAGTTGTTGTTGAAGTTGGGAACGTTGACGAGAGATTGCAAGATCCAGCGGCCATTCATTTCGCACACCAACATGCTGCCCTCACCGCCCTGTCGACAAACAGAAAATAGAAATGTATCATATGTTGGGTAGGTTTCTCTGCAGAAAAAAGCCAATGGATATAACATTAGTACTAGTTTCAGTGTTTACAAATAATTATTGGGTATTGTAACGTCGTACCATGTCTCTGTTAGCATCATCAAAATAATAGTCTACGATACTGAAAATCATTGTTTACAATTGTCATTGTCATTGTTTCATTTGGGACTTAAATGCATGTTGTCCTGTCCGACTGACTAATCACTGACCTTGTGACTTATTATATTAATGCGTATATTCCAGGAAAACTTGTTATATTTTGTACCGTTTATGAGAAATGAGAATATTTTAAGAATTTTAGAATGATATCATACGATAAAGAGGTATGCTAAATACAACCTCTATTCTAATACAGGATCTTTACCATTCCAAAACACTCGCGTTTTAGAGATCCGTGAACCATTTTAAAAAATCCTAATCGAGAAGTAGCCCTATCAATTAATCTTACATTTGGCAATTTACACTTACAGGCGAAGCCCGATATCTCGAATTTCTTGCGTTAAGAGAAATATTTCGACACATCCGACTCCCTGATCCATATCTCCTGTTAATTCAGGTTCTCTAATTGATTGCTCAACCAGGTTCCTACCATCATGTTCCTGTACTTGATGTGTTAATGCCATCATACTGTAGAACTAGTGTTAAGTTGTGTTCTTCAATATGTCTGTTCGACTTATCAGGATACGTTGGGACTATTTGGACAAAACATTGCGTTTGACACAACCTGGAACTCGACACATCAGGTTCGACATATCTGGGTTAAAACGTTGTTAAATATATATTTAGTACGTTTGTCGATACTGGTTTAACGTCGCGTCCAAGATTATTGCACTTATATAGCGACGTGCATGCACGTGTGTGCGCGTGTGCGGCTGCTTGTACTAGACCGGACTGATGCCGATTTATAGTGCTAGCTCACTGAGATACCATGCTGCAGTTTAACATGAATACCCCACTCAGACACAGTATACTGACTCCGAGCCGATCAGTCCTTGTTTTAGCCCCTTAATGCAGACAGGGTAACAACAAATACCACCTTTCTACGTTTTTTGGTATGACGCGGCCGCGGATCGAACCCCGGACCTTCCGCTCTCTGGACCAGACAATCCAATAATTGAAATCATGAGCATCCACCCACGCAATTGGGACGCTCTACCACAAGACCACGGAGGCGGCACATAAGAAGAAGCTTGGGTGGGTGAATATGGTTATTGTGCATTATGGTCAGCCCCTTGTGAGTCATGTTGTTGTTTGCTGTTTTGTTGTTAAACGCCGCACTCAGCAATATTCCAGCTATATGACGGCGGTCTTTTAAATAATCGAGTCTGGACCAGACAATCCAGTAATTGAAATCATGAGCATCCATCCACGCAATTGGGATCGATGACATGCTTCAACCAAGTCAGCGAGCCTGACCATCCGATCCCGTTAGTCGCCTCTTACGACAAGCATAGTCACCTTTTACGGCAGGCATGGGTTGCTGAAAACCAATTTTAGCCCGGATCTTCACGGGTCTTGAATACATCAGGAATACGTAGTATAGTTACGTCCACTAGGCCTGTACCAATTAGTTTCGGACTCTAAAGCATTAGCAAGTTAAAACCCTGTTAGTCCGGAAATCGTGTTATGAATGTCTATATAAACAAGTTGACATTAAACATACCCATGAGTCGTTTATCTGAAAAGTTGTCAATCTTGACAATTTCACATAAAACGGCACTTACAGGATTAACGAAGTTTCAGTAAAGTATAAAAAACACGGTCGACTGTCAAGTCATCTTGCTCCTACCACCTGGACGGTTTTGGTAGCCTATTGGTAAAGGCGTTCGCACATCGCGCCGAAAACCCGGGTTCGATTCCCCACATGAGTACAATATCTCTAGCCAATTTCAGGTTTCCCGTTAAAAATAATTCATTCACTCACTGCTACGACCTTTATTTGGCCTATTGGACTTGTTGTCAAATGATGGCGTAGCATACTTAAAGGTAAATGTTACACTTACAATGCATGGACAGCTGGTCTGGTTCCCTAACTCTAGACACAGAGTGAGTGAGTGAGTGAGTGAGTTGGGTTTAACGCCGCTTTTAACAGTATTCCAGTCATATCACGGCGTGTCAGCTTAATGTGGGAGGAAAGCCTGAAGTGATGCAGGTCTCAGACGTTTACCACTTCGGTGAAACCCACGAGCACGGGTATGGTGCTGACAAACCTAGAAACATAATCGGGGCGAACCGGGGAGAGAGAGAGAGAGAGAATGACACACACACACACA